AGGAGAAACAGGTTCCCTCCGAAGAGGAGAAACAGGTTCCCTCCGAAGAGGAGAAACAGGTTCCCTCCGAAGAGGAGAAACAGGTTCCCTCCGAAGAGGAGAAACAGGTTCCCTCCGAAGAGGAGAAACAGGTTCCCTCCGAAGAGGAGAAACAGGTTCCCTCCGAAGAGGAGAAACAGGTTCCCTCCGAAGAGGAGAAACAGGTTCCCTCCGAGGAAGAGATTCCGGTCCCCACCAATGTTCCCTCTAAGCTGTGGAGTCTTGTGAGCAAAAGCTCTACTTTGTGAGCTACTGACATTAAAGTTGTGAGAGAGAGATTCGGCTAATGCATCAATTAGTTTGCTCTGGAGCTATCCTTTCTGAGCTAAGACAGAAATGTGTGAGCCGGAGGCTCAAAAACCGTGAGCTAACTCACACTAACTCAGCTTAGAGGGAACACTGGTCCCCACCACGTCTGGGGAGGAGACTCCCATGACCCAGGCAAAGGCACCCGTGACCACCACTACACCTCCGGTGACCGCCGCTGGGAAGGGAGCAGTCCCAAAGATGACGTCGTCCCATTTGTTCCTGATCCCTTCGGGCCCGTGGCAGCTGCCCGCCTAGGGGTACTGACCGAGCTCCAGGTGGAGCCAATTCAACCCGGACTCCACGGCAGAGACTTATATGCTTACGCAGGGGCCCCTGAGAGACAGCAGGTTTGACCTGAGGTTTGCCTCAGCTGGAGGTTCCCCCCCCCCCACGGGGTCCCCTTAGAACCACCGCCGGGAGCATGGGTGACGGAGAGGTCGAAGGCGAGGACTGGCCCATAGAGCTCGAGCGAATCCCGTAAAAGCCCGCCTAGCAACCCCAGCCAGGAAGTCGACCAGGAAGCCGAAATTTGCCAAAGTCCTCCAGGCAGGCCCTGAGGAATTGCCAGAGGACTCCAGCGAGCAAGACCCCGAGACGGCGGAAAAAGGCCGGGTCCTGCCGTAAGAGGTGCGGAGCAGCGGGGCCCGATCCCGGAGGCGCCTAAAGTGGTGAGCAGCTTCCCCCCAATGTTCCCTCTAAGTTGTGGAGTCTTGTGAGCAGAAATTCTACTTTGTGAGCTACTGGCATTAAAGTTGTGAGCGAGCAATTTGGCAGCTGCATGAATCAGTTTGCTCTGGAGCCCCTCCTTCCTGAGCTGAGACAAAAATCTGTGAGCTGGATGCTAAAACATGGTGAGCTAGCTCACACTAACTCAGCTTAGAGGGAACACTGCTTCCCCCCCCCCTTGTTTTTCGTGACTGTGACTTTGATTGACCCAGGCCTGGGGTTACGTGTACTCAGTTGTTGGCTGTAGAACCTGACCGTCACCTCTTCCTGCTCCCTTGCATATTGCCTTCGGCGTCTCCACAGGACAGCCTGCCAAGCCTGGCTCGGGCCTAAGCTGCGTGAGGCGCCCGCCCTTCTTGAAACGGAGCCATTCCTTTTGGGCAGGTCGTGCTGGTATGCCCTGCGATGGTTGCCCGGGTTACGTGTGCAACGGAGCCACAGTCCTCCACTTCCTGCCAAAAGCCTGGCCTTTTTTGTTTGCTTTCCAGTTGTTTGAGTGACATTCCAGAAGCGCTGGGGGAGGGGGGGGAGCCCTGGCGTCTGGGGCTGGCTGCCTTCCCAGGGGCTTCTACCTAGGAGCAAATCTCTCTGTGCTCAGTCCAAGTACATTCGCTTAAGGCCAAGCGTGAATTTGTAGTAGCCCCAAATTGAGGGATGGGCACTCAAGATACTCGCCTGCTGGTCATAAGAACATAAGAGACGCCAATGTTGGATCAGGCCAAAGGCCCATCCAGTCCAACACTCTGTATCACACAGTGGCCAGAAATACCAGGTGCCATCAGGAGGTCCAGCAGCGGGGCCAGGACACTAGAAGCCCCCCCACTGTTGCCCCCCCCCAAGCACCAAGAACACAGAGCATCACTTGCCCCAGATATAAGAACATAAGAGATGCCAATGTTGGATCAGGCCAAAGGCCCATCCAGTCCAACACTCTGTATCACACAGTGGCCACAAATACCAGTGCCATCAGGAGGTCCACCAGTGGGGCCAGGACACCAGAAGCCCTCCCACTGTTGCCCCCCCCCCCCAAGCACCAAGAAGACAGAGCATCACTTGCCCCAGAGTCCCTATCTATACCTTGTGGCTAATAGCCACTGATGGACCACTGATGGACCTCCTTCTGGGGTAGAGATGTAAAATTTCTGGAAATGTTGAAGCTCGGGGAAAAAACCTGTTTTTTTTGGGGGGGGGGATGGAAATTTTCGGAAAAATTAAAAAAAAATGCTACTTTAACACTTCTTTTTTCTTTTCCAGATTGAAAGTCATTCTGTTACTTTAGGAACATCAAATATGATTATGGGCATTTTTACTTGGCATGAAATTGCCACAACTAGCATATTAAAAATATAGCGTATCCAAACAGTTCTTACGAACAGAATACCCACCCACACGCAAAAGCAAAACTGAAACCTTTTTCTTTTCTTGTGACAATCGCACCTCCTAAAGGAAGACATGCATCTTGTTCTTGCATTGGAGAGTTCCGTTTGTAACCTAGGACTTGCTTGTCTTCAGTGCACAGAAATTAGATCAATCTGATACCATTCATATTTTTTAGAAATGATTTGGAAAATATTTGAACACCTTGTCTCAAAATATCTTATTTATCATGTTAAAATAAAACGTTCCATAATCATTTCCCCCCCTTTTCTTTTTTCAATTTTTCCAATCTTTCGGAAATGAACAAAAGAGGCTTCAGGAAAAAAACGGGAGAAAAAAGTTTCCCCCTGGAATTTTCCTGGTTTTTTTTCGGGCCTTCACATCTCTATTCAAGGCATACTTTCTTGTGCTCAAGGCCAGTAATGCTAGTCAGTAAAAAATCCCGCACAGCCATCTGTTCGTGTTCTTCCTTTGCGTCTCTGCATGTGGATCGGCGATTGAGGCACGACGGATTCCCCAGTCAAAATTCATAGTCCCACTTAAAGCAGCCCAATGAAAACATTGGCTTCATCAAATCCACTCCAGGATCCCGCCCTAGAGAGACCTCCCGACCAGTGTTCCCTCTAAGCTGAGTTGGCGTGAGTTAGCTCACAGTTTTTTTAGCCTCCAGCTCAAACATTTTTGTCTTAGCTCAGGAAGGAGGGCTCCCGAGCAAACTGATTTATGCAGCAGCCAAACTGCTCGCTCACAACTTTAATGCCAGTACCTCACAAAGTAGAATTTCTGCTCACAAGACTCCAAAGCTTAGAGGGAACATTGCTCCCAACCCGACTCGCTGAATTAAAAGCTAACTCAAAAGAGGAAGGTCTTATCTCACAGTATCTCAAGAACACCCACGAAAGAGTTTGCCTTTCTTATCTCTTCTGGGAAGTCAGAGCGAGCCCAGCCTCAGAAGTTCCCTCCCTGGACTTGCCGCCCGCCAGCGGAGAGGGTACTTCCCATAGAATGTGCTGCCCGGAGGACACCACGGCCACAAAAGCCATAAAGGGAGCTTTATAGCCTGCTGGCGTCTTGCCGAAGAAAGCCAGAGATCAGACCTTTCACACCGTGGCCTGAAGAACATGCCTTTTGCCCTTCCACCTTCTTAAATTTTGTAACTTCCAGCCTGATTAAAAAAAAAGTTCTGGTGAGCTTGGAAGGCACAGTCTTACGTGTCATTTTGGCTGGGCTTAATGAAAGGAATCGTAGCAGCCCGAATAGCACAGATTAGCCTGAACCGGATGGGCCAGGTTCGCCCGATCTCATCAAATCTCAGAAGCTAAGCAGGGTCGGACCTGGTTAGGACTTGGAGGGGAAACCAACCACCAAGGAAGACGAGGGTGTCTACTACAGATGTGAAGGCCCGGAAAAAAACCCGGAAGAATTCGGGGGGGGAAACTGGTTTTTTTTTCCTGAAGCCTTTTTTGGGTTTTTTTCCGAAAAATGGGAAAAATTGAAAAAAGAAAAGAAATTGATTATGGAACGGTTCATTTTAACATGATGAATACAATATTTTAAGACAAGGTGTTCAAATATTTTCCAAATCATTTCTAAAAAAATATGTATGGTATCAGATTGATCTAATTTCTGTGCACTGAGGACAAGCAAGTCCTAGGTTACCAACTGAACTCTCCGATGCAAGAACAACACACATTTCTTCCTTTAGGAGGTGCTATTGTCACCAGAAAGGAAAAGGGTTTCAGTTTTGTTTTTGCATGTGGGTGGGTATTCTGTTTGTAAGAATTGTTTGGATACACTCTGTTTTTAATATGCTAGTTGTGATAACTTCATGCCAAGTAAAAATGTCCGTAGTCATATGTGATGTTCCCAAAGTAATAGAATGACTTTCAATCTGGAAAAGAAAAAAGAAGTGCAAATGTAGATTTTTTTTTTCAATTTTCCTGAAAATCCCCCCCCCCAAAAAAAAAGCCCGGGAAAAAACTGGGTTTCCCCCCGAGCTTCAACATTCCCAGAAATTTTACATCTCTAGTTGCTACGCAGAGGCAGGCAATGGCAGACCACCACTGTTTGTCTCTTGCCTCGAAAACCCCACAGGGCCGCCATAATCGCCTGAGACTTGAGGACCCTTTCCAGCACCAGCCCGAACTCATCAGAGGTCAGAAGCCGAAGAGAAGAGATTGGATTCATACCCCGCCCTTCACTACCTGAAGGAGTCTCAGGACGGTTTACAGCCTCCTTCCCTTCCTCCCCCCACAGCAGACACCCTGTGAAGGTCGGTGGGGCTTAGAGAGCTCTCCCAAGAACTGCCCTTGAGAGAACAGCTCTGAGAGAACTTGTGACTGTCCCACGGTCATGCCAGCGTCTGCATGTGGCGGAGTGGGGAGTCAAACCCGTTCCTCCCAGATTATTATCTGCGCTCTTAACCACGACACCAAAATGAACAGGGTCAGTACTTAGGTGGGAGACCGACAAGGCAAACCGGGACCGCGACACGGAAGGAGACAGCGGCAGACCACCTTTGCCTCGATGAAGTGGAACTTCATGGGGTTGCCACGAGTCGGTTATGCTCGAACAGCACACTTTACCTCTAATGAAAGATACTGCGTGGATTTTGTTCTCGTTTTTCGATTTTCGCACGGGCCTTTATGGCCTTTTTGACTGTCAGTAAAGCGTGACTCGGTCTCTGCTGGAGCCCGGGCAGTTTAGTGGCCTTGCGTAATACCTGATGCTTGAAACTCGTGTTTTGACAACACTCTTAGTGTAGGGA